TGTTTTGCCGACCTCGTTCTCCTTCTCCCAATCGCATCAGCGCTTCACTCTCCTGCCATTTCCCGCGCTCGTTTCCTAACCTATTTCACGCTTTTCTTCTTCCTCGCCCTCGCTATACTCTAGCTACCTCTCTTACTCGTCCGCACTCCTCATGGTACCAAACCACCTTCTCTTTCCTCTCACTCTAAAATAAGCTTTCCCTTTCTTCAAAATCCCTTTCTAATCTTACTTCTAATCGCACTCGTAACCCACACTTACCAGTCACACACACTCCCTCTACTCCTCCGACCATTGCTGTATAAATCAGTGTTTACAAATCCTTGAAATGGTTAAAAGAATAGAATATTATCAAAATGCTTTCATTGAAATGCCTTCTTGTAGGAAAAAAAAACTAGTATTCAGTTCTTTTTGTAATATTTTATTTTCTGGAAAGGAAAACTCTATTCAGAGACTAAAAGGAAAGTTTAGGAGGGCCATAAAACCATAAACAAACCTAAGAATTATCGAGATATATTGGTGCAATGAAAACCCTTTATGCGGTGTCGGGACCTTTGAGGAGTTTCAGATTTCTATCTAAGCACGTACGATACCATAAATAAATAACATTCCGATATTCTAGATCAGATTTCTTGATGTATAGTTTCCAGTACCAAAAAAACATAGGCTGTACCCATTGGTTGACTATAGGGGGTGTACCCTTTTGCTATTGGTCAAAAGGATTCGTAATCCCCTTCCCTCCCCAAAGGGGTGTAGCTCAGTTCTGATATAAATATGTGGAAAGAAGTAAGAAAATGTCCGTAGTGCTCAGTCTGTATCTGTCCTTAGTTAGTTTTAGTCTGTATCAGCCCTTAGTCAGCCTTTAGTCTTCAGTATCTGTCTGTATGTTATATCTGTAACTCTTTTGCATTCTGTATTTCTGTAACCACGCCACTTTATGTAAACTTATGTAAATACCGCTCGACATCACATCATCATAATTTAATAAACTATATTATATCATCTTCAGTTTTATATTTCTCTCTGTCTGAAACTCTACATTCTGTAGAAAATTTACATTTGTTATTCAATAATAAATCATAAATTATTGAAAGTAACTGTTTAATTCAAATATTTAAAATACAAATATAGATATTCTTTATATAATTTTTAGTTTATTCAAATTCAAACTGTTCTTTATGTTTAGATCAATTATAAATACAAGATATGGAATATTTTTGTTCAAATAATATTGTAAGATTCGTGAAAAAAAACTGGACCGCTGGACTGACTGGACCGAGTCTCGAACCACGGATCTTTCGCTTTCCGGGCGACTGCTCTGTAACCAATGTAGCTATCCAGGGCCAGCCGACCAGTTCCCTTCCACGAATGCTTAACAAGTTTGGCATGGAGGCGTTCGTCCCACAATATTATATAAAATTATATTCTGATTACAGAATTTATAGGTTAAATATAATTATCACATCAATATAAATGCCTTAATATCATGAAAAACGCAAATAATTCATATTATAATTTATACTTTTAATTTATTATAACAAATTTCTCATTGTAGACGTTGATGTATTTTTATGTTCTTTATTAATGAAAAGCTGATAATAAATTTAAATAACCAAAGAATTTGTATCCAATTACAGATTAAATATTGTTAATTTTTTTTAGTTACAAAAGTAAAAATATATTATACATACATATCTATATATGTTTCTTATTTAATTCTATCCTTATCTGTGGAATATATTTTGATATTGGCAACTACAAATATATAATTTCAAGATTACAAAAAGAAAAAAAAAACAAAAAATAAAAGCAACGTTGACAATTAGCAATAAATTATATAATATAACAAAAAAAATTATACCTTTTATTTTATTTAAATAAATATATTGTTTATTTTAATTTATAATTTATTGAATATCAGGATTCACATTCATAAAATTCATATTTTATATACATAAAAAAAAAACTTGTGCAATTTGTTTTATTGTGTCTTTTAGCTTTTTTTAATAGTCGAAATAATAAAAAATTGCATAAGAATTCAAAAATAATGTAATATATTTGATAAGAAAGATAATCTAGAGGATGCTTTAGTTTTTAGACAGGCAATCGAAAAAATGAAAACTAACCAATCAGCTTGCAGGATTTGGAAGTTATATTTACATTGACAGCACTGTTAGAAACATTGAGATTGCTTAAAACAAAATAACAATTCAGTCCAGGTTGAATGGGTCGTAAATGCAGTTGTTTCACCTATTCGTGAATATTTTTATTGCACATTATTGACAACTTGTTTAGTCATTCGTAGATTTTTATTATAATACTTTTTTATTTTATAGAATAATTCCGTGTCAGGCAGGATTTTGAAAACGGAATGCAACGAGATGCTGATATTCCCAAGGTATCGAGGTAAGCGCCAAATCATTTTCGCCGTCTTGTTGTTACGATATGATCTCTGTTCTTCCCCTTTCTCCTCCTTTCTTTTTTTTTGTCAACAAAGATGACCAAAGAACGATTTTTAGCTGATGATTTACTTTTGAATGAGTGACTAAAAATAATTTCTTGCTTATAATCGGGATTTTCTTTCCAAATTTGCGCTGCCGCCGGCGAGATTCATCCTGGAGGAAAAAAGTCACATATACTACGTGACAGCGGCCGGCAAAGTGTTAATATTTTGTACTTCTTGAAGGTGTTCACATATGAAAATACAAATGAAAGATATAAATTCGCAATTATATGTGCATATGCATGTATTAGGAAGACCGAAAAGTAATCAAAATTTTTTTTGCTGGCGAAACAAATATTATAATTACAAATAATTTCCATTATTTTCTAAAACTGCGTCAGAGCCCAAGCAGCCGTTTGATTTCATTTTCAAAAAAAATTACCGATAGTTCATTGAAATACTTTTCCAAGTCAGTTTTCATTTCTCCAACATTGTTAAAGTTTTGATTTCTTAATCTATATTCTAACGAATTTAGAAGGTAATTCGACGGCAAGAGATCTGCTGAATAGGGTGGATGAGGTAAAAGTTCCAATCCAAACTCACTTATTTTTTCGTGTTTTATTACTGCAGCGTTTTTACCCGCGTAATCTTGTTGAAGAATTCTGTTTTTACTATTGACAAAAACAAATCCTTTATGTCCATTCTATCCAAAAAAAGAAAATTTTTTGTTGTAGGCTGCACGCAATATACGAGATTTTAAAGGTATTAACATGGATTTTAGATATAAGGAGGACAATCGACATTGGAAATTGTACAGTCAACGCGTCTGGAAAAAAGAGGACAGATCATTCTCTTAAATACGCCGCTAGGCTTCGTTATGTTTGCTAATGTCAGGTTTATAACGTCATGGCGTATATGATCTACTTCATATACACTATGGAGGGTAGAGGTAAGGAGTATCATCTCTGTATATGAAAAATGTCCGTCGAAATGCATTCAATTAGGGTGGCGCCACAGTAGCTTCAGTGTAAATTTTAAAAGAAGCGCCAAATATTATTAGAGTAGGATTGAGAAATAAACAAGGAACACAAATTTCACAACACAAATTTTACCCATAACTGTTTTGATATTCACATACTTTTTCATAAAATTAAATGATAAAAAATCAATAAACATACTATTCACAGTTCACGAAATAAAATCACTCTAGCTACATGTTTTCTCATAATAATTCTTTAAGGTTATATTTACTACATTATTTTGTACTACGCAAGTAGTTGAAATTTTTAATAATTAACTACTTTAGTCGCTAATAATATTAAATTTTTTAACTCGGCATATTTCAATTCGTTTACAATTGCTACATTCATACCATACCTTTTGTCTACACCAGCGCCATTCTGGAAGGTTTTTGAACTGTTATTTATAGCATACAGCTGGACACTTCTTCCAATTTTCTCTCATATGAGATGATTCTCCTTACCTCTACCCTCCATAACACACACACACATACATTACATTCCTGTGCGACGATAGTTTTAAAAACCTGAATTTAGCCACACTAATGCGGTCTAGTGGCAAAAGATCTGTCCCCTCATTTTCGGACGCTTTCGATACATTACGGTCGTCCTCCTTATATCTAGCCTTCGTAAATAATTAATTAGTTTAGTGGATTTTATTCTTTTTTAAATAGTGTATCATTTTTAGAAGGATTACTTGTGGTATCGCAAATATAATTGCAAAACCTACAGAATATGAATTATATGATTTACAATTGTATGAATATTACCGGACAAAAATCAGTTAGATTTTGTTTTGGTTATTTTAAGGAAAATTTAATTGCACAGTTAAAATACATGCATCTAGGTGTAAAAGATGCAAAAAAATGCATAAGATACTATCAGAAATTTCAAATTGAAAATAATTTTTGATGTGTTTACTGAATTACATTGATTTGTTCATCTACAAATGAAGCTGATTCTTTATTATTATTAGTTTATCCACTTTGTATGAGATTGAACCATTAAAATTAAAGAAAAGATCATTTTAAACATAGAGCGCGTATATAATATATTTTATTTTTTACAAATTATTGGGGTTTCTGTTGAAGATGCTATACATTATTTTGGAAAAAAGAATTAAACCAAAAAGAAAAATATAGATAGAAAATAGTTTCAAACAAATTATGGGTATGAATTAAAAATATTAAAATAAGATCACAGAAAACTTAGAGCTGTCATATGTGTGTAACTATTCTAAATTTTGATGTATAACTACTAAAACGTTTATGGTTGGTGATGTTTTTTTTCTAAATTTAATAAAACTAATCAAAATCGTTTGCTCATAGACATGGTGACCATAAGGGTAAATTCTTTGATACGGCACTGTTCGAAGGAGCTTTCTAAAAATATCGCTAGAGCGCGAATTGAAATTTCAAATTAAGGACAAACAAATGTAATATCTAGAAAACAATTAACCAAGGTTTACTTTGAGCTTCTAAATACTGAAGTTATTTTAACTTCAAAATTATTTTTTTTTTTAAATTGTTTTTAGAGTATGTATAAATAAAAATATTTCTTTGATTTTAAAGTTGTTCGAATAGGAATGATTGATTTTTTAATTAAAGTATATATATATATATATATATATATATATATATATATATACTTTTATTTCAGTAAGCAAATTTTTCAATTTATCTAATAATAAATCTAATATGTAATACATTTATTACATGAAAATAATTTTCTGCAATGATTAGGTTTTTTGTTTGTCTCTTGTACACACATATTTTAGGAGATATAGGTTTTATGTATACAGATATTTAAGAATACGTTATTAATAAATTTCATTCGATTACCAATAGCTTGTCTGATTTTTTTTTTTTGTTTTCTTTCTATTTTTACTGTACTTAGCATGAAATCTGTAAAAATTGTTGCTCTAGTATATATTATATTAATTACTTTGAATGTATTAACGGGTAAAACTGGTTTACTCATTTAAAGTCATATAAAACAAAAGTCATAATTTTATAGATAGCATTTATGATGATGTTTGAGATGTTAGAAATATTTTCTTTACAACAAAAGAATCTTATGTAATTTATTATTACTTTGCTCTACAACTTTGAGACTTTTATAAAACCTAAAGAAAATGTCTTGATAATTTGATATACAGTTAAATAGCACCGAGAATTGTTTTAATCGGACGAAATAAATTAAAACAATTAAATTTAAACTTACTGTAATATACCCTGACTGTATAATATAGTATAAAATGAATATTTCTTGCCAGAAATTGTACATTATAAAGAACAGTTGCATAACGTATAAAATTTAGTTCAATTAATAAGAGAAAAAAGTATAAAAGTAAGTAATGAATTTTCAAATAATATATATTTGTTTTAATAAATACAATTCTTCATATTAATTACGTTACGCATACTGTTTGAGATCGTATTAACATTGATCGCTTTGTATGTGGTACTTGAACTTTTAACAAATGAGATGAAGCAAAACTATAAGGCAAGATTTTTCGTAGTAATAGTAAAACAGTTCTTCTTTCTGCTAAATAATTTCTAATCGAAAGATTTGAAATATAATATAAAGATAATGAGAGTAAATAATAGAAGAATGATTAATAAAATGGACGCCAATTTATTGTACGTATTTTTATGCATCTATTCTGACCTGAATAATAGATGATGAGATTTTGACCATTTGCATTGTTTTGCAGATTATCAAACTAAAAATAGTATTTACGAGCGTGAGGTAAAAGCAGAAAGAATTAATATTATAGGAACGATCAAATAAATTAGAAATTCTATTTCTTTTTATTATTATTTTTATATTCATTCGAAGAAGTTTCGTATATAATTGATAAGCATGCTACTTATATGATAAATAAAGTGGATGATCATCATCGTTTTGCTTTTACCGCACGAGTGTGTGTCATTCGGCTCGAAAAAAATGATTAGACACGTTGGATTCTTAACTATTTTCTTGTTCAAGGGATTTCTTTATGATATTTCTTCGCATGTTTGTTTTAACAATTTGACTTTGTGATTGCCGCTGTCTTAATATGTGTTGCGAATTGTCGGTCGATCTATGTAGGTTCCTAAAATGGTTAAGCTCTCCTAGCGATGAAGGACGTTGGCAATTCCTTGAATCACTCCAACTGCAAAGAATATAATCTTTTTAATTCAAAATAAATAAAAATTAATTTAACAAGGAGACATTATGGATATGCTTGAACAAATTTAAACGAACTTTTTAGTATAATAGTAGTATACCTTTAAGGTAAAGTATTTCCATCAAATGCCCAGCAGTCAATTTTGAGAAAATAGCTCCTTCTAAAGTTTTACAAGTTTTCTTTTTATATATTAGGTTGTCCAATATGAAATGGAGCAATGTTCATGTTATTTATTTCAATTGCACATAACCTCATTTAGACGCCGTATTTTGGTATAATTTGTTTTTCGTGTGAATGGTACATCTTTTCCTCTTTTTAACGCATATTTCAGTTTTAAAAATTTTGCAATTTTTTTTTTGTATAGGCGATTAAGTGAGATTATGGAAATCAGCGAAATTCGTGTGTTGATGAAGTATGAGTTCCACCGTGGAGCCACAACACGGCAGGCAGTCACCAATATCAATAGTGTGTTCGGCATTCAAGTGGACAAACGCGATTGTAGCCCGATGGTTTAAGAAATTTCGTTCGGGAGATTTCGACCTGTCTAATGAACCACGTGGTCGACCCAAGACTCGGGTGAATAATGACGTCCTGAGAGCCACTCTGGAAGCGAATATCAGCCAAAGTGCACGTGAATTATCATTAATGTACAATGTATCAAAGCAAATAATCTTGACTCATTTGGCACAAATTGGTAAAGTGAAAAAGCTGTACAAGTGGATACCGCATGAATTGACGGATGCTCAGAAGGAACGAAGACTCGACGCATGTCTTTCTCTTCTTTCTCGCAACAAAACCGAACCATTTCTCAATCAAATCGTTACGTGCGATGAAAAATGGATCATGTACGATAATCGTAAGCGTTCATCGCAATGGTTGGACAAAGATGAATCACCAAAACACTGTCCGAAACGAGACATCCACCAGAAGAAGCTGATGGTCATTGTTTGGTGGTCTGGCTCAAGTGTCATCCACCACAGCTTTATGGAATCTGGCCAATTGATCACGGCGGATGTCTACTGTTATCAACTAGACGAAATGATGAGAAATCTTGCGATTAAACAGCCAAAATAAGTTAATCGGATGACTCCAATTCTCCTGCACGACAACGCTCGACTACATACCGCACGAATGACCGTGTCAAAGCTACAGGAGTTGAAGTTGGAAACTCTCCGTCACTCACCGTACTCGCCAGACCTTGCCCCCACTGACTATCATTACTTTCAAAATTTAAACAACTTTTTATCTGGAAAAAAATTCAATTCCGTACAGGTTCTCAAAATGACGTTTCAAGAGTTCATCGACTCCCGTGATCCAGGCTTCTACAGCAAAGGAATAAATGAGTTACCTCTAAAATGGCAAAAGTGTATCGATAATATGGGTGCATACTTTGATTAAAAATAAAAAGTTTTCCGTCACTCACAGTACTCGCCAGACCTTGCCCCCACTGACTATCATTACTTTCAAAATTTAAACAACATTTTATCTGGAAAAAAATTCAATTCCGTACAAAAATAAAAAGTTTTTATTCGAAAAAAATCGAATTCAATTACGTGCATTTTTTGCTCCATTTCATACTTGACAACCTACATACATCTTATATTCTTTTAAATATAAATATAAATATAAGTATGTTTATCAAGTGGTGCGCTAGGGTAAGTATGTGAGCTCTTTTTTTATGATATTTTTTTTTGAGCAAATTAAATATTGGGTTGTCTGAAAAATTCGTGTCGATCTTGACAGAAGATTAATATCCAACGCATTTAGGTTTCTTTTTTCGGTATATATTTCTTAAATAAATACAAATGTCAGTTTGTTTCACAACCTTTCGCCATCTTTATGAATAACCCCAAATTTCGTTCTACCAGAACTTCTCAGGTTTTTCATCAAAAAAACTTTATGCAACCTACTGACAATCGGCACGAACTTCCCAAAAAACCCCAATATATACAGTGGGTGTAAAAAGTATTCGTACACCGATCAATTTTCGTTAATAAGATAAATAGAAAGAGAGGATTGGAATGCGCAAATAATAACATTAAAAGACCATTGGACCAATTAAAAAGACTAAAAGATTAATCTAACACTTCATAAAAGGACGAAGACTGAAAAAACAATTATATCTATTGTAGAGACTTTGAAGAATAGGTATAAATTCATCGTTTATAAAAACTTCAATTTCACAACATTTTATTTCAAATTGATAGATGTACGAATACTTTCTACATTCACTGTAAATATTGTTTAATTAAGTTGTTTTTTTTTTATAAAAGCGAGTCGAATGGCTGAATAACAATTTTTTTTTCTTATTCTTTCATAGGAAAAATTATAATTTTTCCTTTAGCATAATATAATAATTTAATGTATATTAGTTTCTAATTATAACTGTATATAAATTATGTAAGATTATTACTTAAGGGACCATCTCAGTGTAAGCGGCCAAAAAATTGTCAATTTTCGTGATTTTTTTTCGGATGAATAGGAGAAGGGGATGGGATGTTTTTTTCCGAATAAGACCACTCTTTAACAATACAAAAATATTTTTTTCATTCGTTTTTATTTATTTTTACTTATTGTTAATAATTATTTTAAAAAGTGAGTAAAAAAAATGGGGGCAATCGGTGTCAATGATTGTGGTCGCAGTTTGCATCTTAAAGAAAAAAATCAAATTGATTATTAATCTGTAGGGAAGCCGCTATGTCCCTATGGAGGTTTTTTTTGAAATTTGACAAAATGGCGACGGTTTGAAGAAAAAGTACGAAATTTAGCCCTGTTTTTCAACAGTTTTTCGTGGGAAAGAATAGGAGAATTAAAAAAAAAAGTTTCTATAGGGACATAAAGAATAAAGTAAAAAAAATTCCGTAAAAATTTCAAGTCGATAGCTTGAAAACTCTCCCTCTGAGAGGTGACACGATTTGTAAAAAGGGCATTTTGAGAAAAACGCGTTTAAAGTTTAGCGTGCGTCAACTTACGCTCCAATCTCTTTTTCCAAGAAAGGTTGTAGCGACCGTAATAATTCGAATTTAAATTTGAAAATTTTACAGAACACACACAACTATATGTACTTCAAGATAAGACAAAAAAAAATCGATTTTTTTTAATTTTACACTGAGATGGTCGCCTTAACCCTTTGCGGTCAGTGTCCCCATAGCGGGGACATGTTAAATCTTTATAGAAGACCGCAAAGGTTAATAATTTTATATTCTTATGTATTTTAAGTAGTATTAAATACAACAAATCTGTTTCAACAAATTGTGTGTGTGTTTTAATATTCATATATCAATTTTAAATCTTGTATGGAAAAGTAATTGCGAAACGATAGATTTGCTCCGACCTGCTGGTACTCCCAAAAGCGAAATTTTCTGATCGCAAAGGGTTAAAACTTTTTGTTTATTTTTATAGTTTTTTTAAAAATATGTTATGATTTCTTCTTGTGCTAAAATAAACATGTTTAAAGATAAAAAACTAAACTAAAACGTCAGCGTAAGTAGTAGTTTTCTTACTTCTTACACCCGATGATTAGTGTTCGATTCTTTGAGGTTGATGTTTTTTTTATAAGATTTTCTATTCATAAGTTTTACACGTTTTTTTTCATATTTCTAATTTTTAATTATATACAAAAAAGAGAATTAAAATTACCAAAACAAGATTAAAAACAATAAATTTCTTGACATCTTGCGCAAATAATAAAGGAAGATTAATTACTTAAATTACAGTTAACGTTTTATTTTTTAACAAGTTTTAAAGAATAGATAAAATTTCAATGTTCCTAATAACTCATGACCTTCACTTTTTTTTCAATATATTATAATATTGTGATGTAGCTATAATAAAGTTCTTACTATCTAAGAAAGCAAATTTGATTTGCTAGAAAGCATGATATTAATATTATATATATAAGGGCAATTAATCTCTATGGATAAATCAAATGTGCTGCTATAATAAAAAGAAAAGACAATTTAGGTCTATTCCTTATCTGTCTATTTGTTATATCAAATATCACAAACTATTAAATCTTCGGTTGTCTTTCTAGTTTTTTGTTCTCATGTGTTCATAAATTTATTAACTCGACAATTAAACTAAAAGGCGCGCTGCGCTGGTAAAGTGCAGCCGATTCGAATTAAAGAAAGTACACTTTCTTTACATGTATACATAAAATTATTAATGATTAGAGTACATATATATATAAATATAATTGTTTTTTGTTAGTGTTAAAATTTATAAGATGAATAATAAGATTTGTAAAGTGGGTAGAAAAATTTATAAAAAAAAAATTCCCCCACAAAGAATCGAACAATAGTTACCCGTTGCAAGAAGTACGGACAGTGCTACTTACGATAACACGCCACTTGATAAAAACATTTAAATTTTAAAGAATATAAGATAAATATCTACAGACAAAATCTTTACTATTCGGCAGATTTTAGAGAAAAAATGGGAATTTAATCAACCGTTACACCAACTTTATGTAGATTTCCAAAAAGCATACGACTCAGTAAAACGAGAAAACATGCTCGAAATCCTAATATGACAGGGGATCGCAAGAAAATTGGTCAACCTGGTTCAACTTTGTTTAAAGGAAACTAGGGGTAAAGTGAGAATAGTTAATCAAATGTCAGAAGCTTTTAGTATTCATAGCGGGTCAAAACAAGGAGGACGCATTGTCACCTCTTTTGTTCAATTGAGTACTGGAAATCGCTGTCAAAGAACTACAGAAAAGTAAAGAAGGTCTACAGTTGAACGCGACAACACAATTGTTGACATACGCGGACGATACTGCTTTGTTAGAGGACAATAAAGAGTCATCAATTATTAATGCGAAAATACTAATAGATAACACGAAAAATCTGGAGCTACAAATAAGCGCCGAAAAAAACAAATATATGGTTAACCGATTGAGTTCAGAATAGGTTTAGTACTGGAACTTTGGTCGTCCGGGATAAAACTTTTGAGCGGGTCAGCAACTTTAGGTATTTAGGATCGATCATAAACCAGACGAACGAAATTAACGAAGAACTAAAGAAAAGAATCAATCTAGGCCATTCATGTTTCTAGTCGGTTAACAAATTACTCAGCTCTCGGTTGCTGTCTGGGCGATTAAAAATCAGGATATACAGGACAATCATCCAGCCGGTAGTTCTTTATGGTAGCGAATCGTGGTCGCTTACGTTACGGGACGAAAAGAAATTTAGGGTTTCCGAAAACAAAGTTCTTCGTAAAATCTTCGGTGCAAAACGCGATGAGGAAACGGGCGAATGGAGAAAACTCCATAACATTGAAGTACATCGATTGTACAACAAACCGGACATTATCAACGTCGTAAAGTCACGCCGATTAAGATGGGCTGGTCACGTGGCGCGCATGGGGGAGGATCGAACGGTGCACAAAATATTGGTCGGTATACCAAACGGGAAAAGACCACTAGGTAGACCGAGACGTGGATGGGAGGATAATATTAGAGATTGAAAGAAATAGAATATGAAGACCGCGAATGTGGAAGGATCGCGCTCAGGGACGGGAACAATGGCGAGATTTGGTATTTGCGGCAATGAACTTTCGAGTTCCTGATGCCAATTAATAATACTAATAAAAAGAATAAGATGGATATCAAAAAATGCAAAACTTTAGAAGCTTTTTTCTCAAAATTAGTTGCTGGGCATTTGATAGAAATACTTTACCATGAGAATACCTTAAAGGTATACTACTAATATACCAAAGTTCGTTTAAATCCTTTTGATCACATCCGTAATGTTTCCTTGTAACAATAAAAGATATGCGATATTAAGAAAAAAGAATAATATCCTTTGCACTTACCGTGCAAGGCTATTCGTTGCAGCATGAAAGATCATTAATTGTAAATCCATTACAATCGAAATAAATAAGAAAAACAATTATCTAATACATATATTTAATGTATGCGTGTCATTTATAATACACATGCTGTAGTTATATCATACCATTAAAATTAGTAATTAAGAGAGTTGCACTTCATTATTTTCATCAAATGAAATTTTATTTATATAAAAATAAGAATGTTTGTATCTATCAATTTCTTAGCATCCATAAGGAACAAAATTAGACCCCCTGTATTATTGATTTAAAAAAATATTAAGAAATAATCGAGTGCGCGTCAACAAATATATATAGATATATGTATATATAGATCACAAGTAAGATTGGATCTTCATGCAGCATGAATTGTAATATCATTGCTATGTGATCAAATAAATATATTTTCGATAGAAAAGATGGACAAATATAAAGGCATTAAGTGCAGAAAGAAGTAAATATCCCAAAAATAAATCACATAGACTGGTGCACTCTACCTTCCCAATCCTGAAGCTGTTCGTATGAAATCATCCGCATGAAGTGGTGTGACCAGAGCAGCAATAATAACATGTTATTTATGATGCATTTAATGTAGGAACATATATGAAAAGTATGCGTTACTTTGAACCAAATTCAAAGTATATTCATCCATTTTATTGTTGTCATTATTGTATATATGTTCTTAATATTATATTTCTATCAATATATTGTCAATCTATCTAACATTGTCTCTAATACCCAAAGCTTTTATTAATCTGTGGTCTAATCGATTTTTATAATGTTAGACAAGAATAACCTAATAAGTTTAATCTCTCCTATAATTTACTTTTGTAAAATTTATAAGAAATTGCTGTTTCATTATTGTTGATTGTTAGTTACAATAGTTTCTTAAAATACATTTAATTCTACAGAGCGTAATTAAACTTGATTTCTTTTTTTAATCAACATATATCTAGTAAAAGAGATACAATATAATACATGAGAATACTTTTATGTAGATAAGTAAAGATAAGTAAAGGTTTCCAATTACGAAAATAGATACATATATGGCGAATGTTTGGATCTTATTTAGAATACTTTGAATTTTACGCAAATAATATTTTGTCTAATGTAAACGGTAAATATATTAAAATTATTAATCGATGAAGGAATATATTCAATATTATTTTGATCTCTTTTACAATATATCGAAGTTAAGGGGCACCACTAGTGAAAAATTTTGAAAAAATCGAAGGTTTTTGGCATATTTCGATAGTCTATACTTTTAAAAATAACACACTAAAATTTTAAGTATATTTTTCAAATAGTTTTTGAGTTACAGCCATCTTTATTTATAACGATCAAATCAGTAACTTAAACTTTAAACGCTTTTTTTTTAGAAACTACATTTTCCAAATTTGCCGCAGTTATAACTTAAAAACAAATCATCTGATCGATTTGATTCTTGCTGCAGCTTCTTTTATATATTTCTGCATACTATAAACCTCTAGTTTTTCGATCGAATAAAAAAAATCATCAAATTTTCGCGGGAAATTGAAACATTTTTTTTTAAACTCCGCCATATTGTTAAATTTCAATTTTTCATTTCGACCGAGGTTTATGGTATGGGAAATTCTTTCAAGTTTAATAAACTTTTTTTTTTTATTTCATGCACTGTGAAAGTCGTTATAACTGCAGCAGTGGGAGGACTTTATTTGGGCCTTGGGAGATTACGAATAACTCGCTTAATTTTCAATTTTTTAGTCGAAAAATTTTGTCATATATTCATAATATATCCACGCGAATATTTCCTTCAAATTTAAAACATTCCATTGAGCAGTTTTCTTTGAAAAAAATTCCTAAAAATCACGTTTTTTTCAAGCGGTCACACTAGTGGTGCCCCTTAAGAAAAAAAATCTTGTTAGTCGCCATAAATACACATATATTGGTAATATATAAATATTAAATTACGCACAGCAATAAAATAAAAATACCATCTTACCTGACGAAAGGCCCTATTGTGCTATCTTGGGGAAGTGATTGCAGAAGCGAAGGTCCTGCTGACACTGGTCGTATCTATGTCAAAAGGAACGAATTATCTGATATTTTTTTATTTGTAATAGGTAAGTAAAAATAAATAATACCTTTTCGGTTTGCGTGGCAGCATTGCACATGTCCACTAGCAAAGTTTTACTACAATTCGCCGACGACGTATTATTTTCGACGTCTGTGCCATTCGAAGCTTTTAATTTTGCCATTTGAAACTGAAACGTTTATCATAATTGTATATACAATTGATACAATTTTGGATTATATCGATTAAGTTGATCAAACAATATTTAAATATACCTGAAGTATTTGTATAGTTCGATCTTTATCTTCTACTTGTCCTTGTAAAAAGACCACTTGTCTACGTAAATCCGTCAACTCGTCGGCGATACTACTTCCTCCGCTTCCTGGTGACGTGCTGACATCCGCTGTACCACCTTCGCTCAGGGTGTAGAAGAGACCATTCTAAGTAATATAATGAGATTAGAATCACTTATCAATAGTGCATGCTCGTTTCCAATAATTATTATATTAAACAATTAACAATATCAACGATATTAACATATGGACCGTTTATTTTGAAAGTTGTGTAAATCCAGTCTTTTTTTTTAAATAAGATATTTTATTTATATTAAATTTAGTATAATAGTACTATAATACTATTATACTAAATATAATATATATTATACTATATCTCGTACTATATTATAATATTAATATATAGTACTATTATAATATATATATAGTATTATATTATATTATATATAGTATATATTATACTACATAATACTATAATAATAGTATTATAATAGTACATACTATACAGTACTATTAATACTATTATAGTACTATTAATGTTGTAATAATAGTATTATAATAGTATCATATAGTAGTATAATAGTAATAATATAATAACTAGTTACTATTCAATTTCTTAACCTTTTGCACTTTGTTGGCGCCGCTATTGCGTCATTTGTTTTCAGTGCAGTTATAAAAACAATTACAAAGTGTAGTTTGCGTTCAATGACTAACAGATTCTGTGTTCAAAGTATCTGTATATATAATTATTATTTATATTTATAATACTGTTAATAATATATTGTATAACATATAAAATACGTAATACAAAATACATAATTATAATTGTAAAATTATATTAATACAAAATATAAATATTATATTCCATTTTTTTATCACAAACTACATTAATTAAATAAATAACTTAATAATAACATTAAAATCTTTATTTTTAGTAAAACAGAAGTTCATTTTTCAGATGTTCTAACAAAAATGTCACGGGATGGCTGTACTCATGACTAAAAAAACACTCGGAGTGCAAAGGTTAAAAAATGTCCATGCATTGACCAATTTCAAATTGGCTGTTAAAACAAATTGCCTGACCATTGATTATGAAAGTGGTGTAAGCCTAATTTCCATAGAAAAATAAAATGAAAAAAGAATTTCCCGTATACAACACATAAGTATTATGATATAAAACAATGTAAAAAAATAACACAATAAATTCAATTTACATGAAATGAAACGAAAGGATTTTTTTTCGACAAAAAATCTACAAAATGCAATTTAAAAATAGAAACAAACACTAAAACAGAAAAAGTAAACTGGTTGGAAATACGTTGGATGAGATTTCTTAAAAATGCATTTCGATGAATTTTCGATGAACAAGAAAGAATTGAAGATTTTAAATTTATTACCTGCGCGTCCGAGAAGAATAAAGGATTAGGATATGGAGCATTTGTTACCCTATATACTTCCTGTATATCACGAATATTTTAAAATACTGCCACAAGAAAATCATACGTAAACACTACCAATGTTTTATGTTAATTTTGCCAATATAATTAAAATCTAAAATTAAAAATACTACTATTAATTCTATATCTTGTTATAATTTGTAAATAAAATTGGATTAATATAAAATAATATATTTTAAGTGATATTTGATTTTTTATAAATGAAATTATATGAGATTTTTATAATTGACTAATTTTGAAACTTTAGTTCCATTATAAAAATACCAAAACACCTAAATTACAGAATTTACGATTGCAGTTTGCAATCACCCTTTTACACCCCCTACTCCCATATATGCAAAATAATTATTATTTTAAAAATAATTTTGAACAAAATCTTTATCCTAAATTAAAGTAAATATACATTATTTTAGTTAAATTCACCTAAAACCAATTCATATGATCAAATTACATATTGATAAATTAATAGGCACATTGCCATGCTTAATATAATTATTTTATATTTTTGTATCGACAGATATAACTTTAATTTTTTCGCAATAAGAGAAAATGAACTTACACACCATTTTCAAAATAAACGGTCCACATTTTAATATGCATAGAACCCTGAATCATATGGAGACAGATTTTTCTTATGCAACGTATTTACTTTAAATTGGAATAATATAAAATATTATTTGTGTGTGTTTGAAGTGACATTTGATTTTTCAAAAATGAAATTAAACGAGATTTTTACAAACTAATTAATTTTGAAAATGGTGTAGGTCCATTTGTAGCCAGTAAATATATATTATTTTAATTAAATTCGCCTAAAACCAATTTATATAATCAAATTACATATTGATAAATCAATACATTGCCATGCTTAATATACAGTAGATGTAGAAAGTATTCGTACATCTAACAATTTGAAATAAAATGTTGTGAAATTGTAGTTTTTATAAACGATGAATTTATACATATTCTTGAAAGTCTCTACAATAGATGTAATGAAACAAAAACTTATTTTTTTGAATAAATTATAAAATTGACAAGGAAAACGAAAAAATCGGCAGAAACAAACGAGCAATTCGTATTTAAACTATTTACAAGAGAATTTGTATATAAATCATAATGTAAAAACATCACATGATTGCTTTCCAGTTATAATTGACCTCGTCAGTATGTTTGTAAGCATTATTGGCATCAGTTGAAATCAACATTTTTTAAGATCGAAAATTATTGTTGGAAAATGGGACGAAAACATATGAAAACAACGATAGAAGAAAGAAAAATGATTATTAATTTATAGAATCAATGTAAAAGATTATTTGAAGTATCGTGAATTATAAACAGACCTCGATCTACTATACAAAGTATCATTGATAGGTATGGATTAAGAAAGAAACTGTAAAATAACTCAAGAAATAGACGTCCACGGAAAATGAATCAGTACACTGGACGAGTAATCACAAGAATGATAAGACAGAATCCAATGATAAGTGCTATAAAAATAGTTGAACATCTTAAAAATAATTGAAATATTGATATATCTGCCAGTATTGTATGTAGTTTTTTGTGAAATGATTGGTATCATGGTCAAGTCAACACCAACTGCATTCATGCAGCCCTAAACAAGTTCAGAATCTCCACCATGTTTCACTGTAAGTCGCAAGTTTTTTGGTTTTAGCTCTTTATTTTGTGTTCCTCCATATAATGAAATCATTGATTCCTCCATAATAATTTTTTGTTTCATTAAATCTATTGTAGAGACTTTCAAGAATATGTATAAATTCATCGTTTATAAAAACTACAATTTCACAACATTTTATTTCAAATTGATAGGTGTACGAATACTTTCTACATCTACTGTAATTATCCTATATTTTTGTATTGATAGATATACCTTGTATTTTCTCGAAACAAGAGAAAATAGACTTACACACCACTTTCAAAATAAACGGTCCATATATGTACATTTTACCGACCTTCACAGTATTATCGAATGGGTTGAGAGCTTCTGGCTGAAAAATAAATTTCACGATGTTAAATATTACTCAATGCCAACTGCAATATTTAGCATATAATAATCGCATAAAATATATTGGGTTGTCCGAAAAGTTTGTACTGATTTTTGTTAGATGACATAAAGTTCTTTTGCTAATAAAACCTGAGAAATTCTGGAAGGAGAAAATTTTGAAGTTTACCTTGAAGATTGAGAAAAAGATTGTAGAACCACTTATAGAACCACAGAGAATGCCACTTATTTATATAATTTAATAAATATATAAAAAAAAAAAACTTAAATGCGGTTCATTTCAATCTTCCGTCAAAATTTACACGAACTTTCCGGACAAACCAATATAAATAAAAATACGTGATAAAGAAATAGTAAATTATAACGAAATTGATTTAAATAATGGAAAAAAAAGAACAAAAACAATGAATGTAACGTACCCTCGTCAAACTGTTCTCTCCTGACTTGAAACGTAAAATGAAGGATGACCGTACAAGAAATGAAAAATAAAAAAGGAATGTTAATCAAAAATGAAAACAAACAAAACAAAATAAAAATATAACGTTGAAAAATACAAAGAAATACAAAATCATGCAAAATCTTACATAGTATGTATATCCTAGAAAAAAAAGTAGAAACAAAAGCAATATTAATCGGCGTACCTCCTGAAGTACTCGTTTTAGTTTTAAGAGCATAGTCTTAAGAGAGACAATGTCTTGAAACATATACTGGAAGGTTGCACGATCAATTCTGATGGTTGTGTCGTCGCTCGAATCAAAACTGGGAGATGGAATCTACAAAAAAAAATCATATGTAATTAAATGTATGCAAATAACATGTATGTAACTTTTTATTTGAACCCTTTGGCTACATTTGATTTATCATTACGTCATGCATTTGTTTGGGCAAAGATTTACATGATATTCTCATACGTCATTGAAATTGAGACGAGATTTTACTATAGTTCATTCTGGTTTATTTCGAAGAAACACAAGTAATTTTTATATTATTATAATTAATTATAATAATATTTAATATTATATTTATTTATATAATAAATATAATATTAATTATATAAAAATATTAATATTTAAATTATTATAATATTCCAAATCTGATACATCATTGAAATTGAAACGAGATTTAACTATAGTTCATTCTCGTTTATTTCAAAGTAATGCATAATTTTTATATTATTATAATTAATTATGTAATATTTAATATTATATTTAATATTAATTTAAATTATTATAATATTTTAAATCTGATACATTATGAAACTGAGACGAGATTTAACTATAGTTCATTCTGGTTTCAGTTTTAATGACGTACCAGATTTGAAATATTATAATAATTTAAATTAATATTTAATAATAATAATAGTAATTTTCAAATAAGTGTAATTTTCAATAAGTTCCCAAAGGGTTAATATAATCTAAATTTTTATTTATTATTTCCTTTCTACCACAAACAATACTCACACTTCTCGGTGTTCTTAGAGGACTTGGTATTTGACGACTACGAACGCTGTCCAACGAACGCGGTGATTCTGCACCAGACCTGTTTCGCAATAATCTCGAATTTCTGCCATTTATGATTCTGAAATCAATGATAAGAGTAAACGATCATTTTATATAATACTTCTTCGGAAACATATTTTTTACGTTGCATTATTTAACGTTGAGATATGAAATTAATTACATTTTTTATAAAATTCAAAATAGGAGTTCATTTGATAAGATAAGCTTAGGAAGAACCAAGAGAGATCTTAAGAGAGTTCTCGGAAAGTTCATTTTTCTGACCAACTTATAAATTATATTTCATATTAATATCCGTGCAATTATGCCCTTTGCAACATGCAGACGATGGATTAAGGGGCACCACTAGTGTGAATTTTGAAAAAATCGAATTTCTTTTTTTGCATACTTCGATAGTTTATATCTTTAAAAATAACATACTAAAATTTCAAGTGCATATCTCAAATAGTTTTTAAGTTACACGCACATCCATCTAATATTTCTTGATTTATAACGATCAAATCAAGTAACATAACCTATAAACGCATTTTTTTCGAAACTACATTTTTCAAAATTTGCGGCAGTTGTAACTCAAAGATAGACAATTCATTCGATCGATTTGATGCTTGTTGTAGTTTCTTTTATATATATTTCTGCATACCATGAACCTTTTCCAATCGAATAAAAAATTTCATTTTTGCAGGCAAAAAATCATCAAATTTTCGCATGAAATTTGAATCTTTTTTTTAAAACTCCGTCATTTTGTTAAATTTTAATTTTTTGTTTCGATCGAGGTTCATGGTACGGGAAATTCCTTCAAGTTTAATAAACTTTTTGGTTTTTTTGATTTCATGCACTGTGAAGGTCGCTATAACTTTAGCAGTGGGAGGACGTTATTTGGGCTTTGGAAGATTGCGAATAACTCGCTTAATTGAACAATTTTGTCATATATTCATTACATATCCACGAATATCTCCTTAAAAAATTGAAACATTCCATGCAGCAGTTTTCTTTAACACGTTGAGCGCTACGTCAGTCATCGGTGGCTGACACTAGACTTTCTGTTTAGGCCGCGTCCGTCACAAGTGACTGACACGTCCAACTATTTTTTCAATACAAAGTAACACCTATGGCCTGACGGGAATTTCCCTAAGAATTCACGTGGCGCTCAACATGTTAAAAAAAATTCCCAAAATCACCTTTTTTTCAAACAGTCGCACTAGTGGTGTCTCTTAAAATACGTAGGAATGATCTTTTTATCAGCCTTCCACTACATATTTTTAGTAATTGGCAAAAAAAAAAAACCAGAAAGAAACAAGAAAGAAAATATAATACGTTTAAAACAAAATAGGAATTAATCGGAAAAAAAATAAAAGTGCTTAAAAATATGCACAAAAAACAGCCCTCTATAATACTAATGATAATTAGATCCACGTGGGGAAACGTGTTTATTACACATGCTATTACATGCTAAAAGAAAAGTCGGTCAGAGAAAAGCTACCTGCTGTACTCTGACTTAGCACGTGATACCGAGGCAAGTACGGAAGGGGTAGTTGTGGTGGTGGTGGTAGTAGTAATGTTGATAACGTTATCACTCGATTTTGGTTGCCTAGGAGGCGGAGAACCACCCGTCGGTGTCGAACACTCCGAAGACAAACCGGAATCACGACCATCCTCGTGATTATTTCCATTGGGGATTCCCCCAGCACCAATATTGTTATCGCGTATTCTCGTAGTCGGCGGTACTGTTCGTTTTTTAGCACCTGACGAGACACCACGAGAAGAGGCCATATCTCTCTCTTCGTGTTCAAACTTTATAATAAATTTATTTTATCCGATTCAATCTCTCTCGACACTCGATTCTTACTTTTAAATTGTCTCTTGCCAGCGTGAGAAAATACGCGTAAAACAAGATATCCTCATCGTTTTGTTGTTGTTGTTGTTGTTGCGGTTTACGTATGCGGCATAGGGTATCAGTTTGCTTCAGTTTCTATCAAACGATCTACAAAAACTGGTTAGATCACCCAAGTGTGATTTTTCAATTAAAACATTACCGTTAACTCTTTGGATATTAATTTGAAAACATTAGGAGAATTTGTTTGTTTTTTTTTTTTTTTTTATAAAAATAAAAGCAATCATTTAGAAAAGATTTGTTTATTTTTTTATCTATTAACATTGAAATTCACATGTCATTGAATGTCATTGAAAATCGACATGTCACATTTATATGAAATAAAATAGATGCGAGGAATTTCGTTAAATTATTTTACTAAACCCCTTGGCAAGTTATTTTCAGAATAAGAGTATGTCAGAGAAAGAGAGGGAGAAAAAATTACATCGAACGTCTAACAAATCGATATTATACATTTAGAAATATTGTTCTCGTTGTAGACATTACATAGCAACGAACAACAATGATGCATAACTCCGTAACGATCTTCCGATGACGAAACGTATTTGTTCATGATTATATTTTTCTTTTGTTATTCAACTTTTTCTAAGAGAAGAATGAATCACAATAAAAATCTTTAACGCGTTCGTATTCGCAAGATTTTTCTTTTTTTTTTGTAAATTTGCGAGATGAGGGGCACGTGTTGTACGGTGAAAAAATTACGGGACACATGCACGTAAGACGCGCGCGCGCGTGAAAACACATATATTGTAATGTGAAAAGACAGAAAAAAAATAAGCAAACGCGATGAAAAACACGTTCGAGAAAGAAGAAGACACTCTCTGATAGAACGAACGAACGAACGAACGAAGGACCCTCGATGTGTTAGCTCGTCTTAACGACAACACCAGCATGAATAAGACCGAGAGGATGATTGCGCGTCGTAAAATGGCGCATGCGTCTGCGAAAATACACCGTTTCGCTCGATATCCAGGGAGTTTGTGTGGGGACATAGTCAACGGGAGAAAGGGAATCCCCCACCTCTCTTTTTTCATTCAGGAGAGAGGGTAAACCGAAGGGCAAGCTAAAGTTGCATGCAAAGGGTTAACCAAGCTAGGAAGCTAGACCGAGAACTATCGATTATACTTTTTTTTTCATTTCCTTTTTCTATATTCTATTATTTCTACTTATAAGAAAGCGTGTCACTCAAAACTTTAGTAAGTTTTAACACATTGCGTACAACGGTCACGAGATATCTCGTTTTCATGTTTTTTAGATTTATTCAATGATTTAAGGAATCAAAATTTGATTTTCTTATTACGTTACCAGATTAACGGAGTTTCGTGTATTCTCCTAACCTCTAATTAACGAAAAAAGTTAATCCTAACATTAATCAGTGGGCCATTTCATCAGCTATTGCAACAGTAACTCTGTATCCTACCTTATAAAATTTTTTATTATTATACATCATTTTGTTATCTCAAAAATCGCGTTTTATTTTGTAAGGAAAAAACTTTTTTAAAATCATTTATATTTCTAGTCTTTTAAATGATAATAAAAAATTAGAATTATTTGATGAAATAGGCTTTAATTCTAAAATAGTAGCAAAATGACGAATAGAAGTAAAGAAAATAAAAATCAATGTGAATTGTTGTTTGATGATTTATCAGATGAATTGAATAATACTGCAGATGAAAATGAATTCAGTGATAATAGCGAAATTCTTGAATTTAGTAATGTTATTAGTCATAGAAATACACCCAAAAATGTGTGGTTCTTGGAAGCGTGTTGCGTGAACAGTGTGCCTTACGCAATGTGTTAACTTTCAAAAGTTACCTTCACATTCACACTAGTAGTACTTATTGTATAAATATTTTAGAAAACTGCGACCACTTGTTTATTTTTGTCATTCTTATTCGTTTCAGTTAGTTCGAACTTTCAAATTAACCTATTCGAGTCCACTTTGCATACCTTGTGTGTAAAAACTTTCTTTTTTCAAAAAAATCCAGTAAGCACACAGTGTGTGCAATTATAATAATAAGCTATTATCAGTTATTTTGAGTAAAGTATTAATTGAGATTTTTTTTTGTATGAATATTATCTTTAAAGTATAGAAATACAAAATGAGGCATTGATTTTCATGCATATCAAAAAAAAAAAAAAAGCAACGAAAAATTTTGCTTGGATTATCAAAATCTACATTTTTACAAAATATCAATGTTATTCTACTTTAAAATCAGTGTACTATTTTCTAAAAATCTATTTATAAATTATATTTTCTTTTTTATTAATGAGTTGCATTATTTTATTAACTTTGGACATTTTTTTTTTAATTTTATTTTTCATTTATATTATTATCAACTTAGTTTTGTTGACTATTTATTATTTTTTAAAAATTTTACTTTTTATTATATTCTATTTTTTAATATTGAAAGCAAAATAACAATTTTATATTATCTAACTATTTTTAAAATAAATATTTATAAATTTTAAGTTTATATATTTATTTTACTTCACATTGCACACATGGTGTGCAATCAACTTATTTATGCACTTACGAATTGGATAATTTTCATAATAGACAAGTTTTTTTTTATTACAAATGAACAATATAATGAAAAAAAATGGCTTCTGAGAACCGTGTTTGAAAAATTACTTCACATTGCATACACGGTGTTCAATCCACTTCTCACAAATAAAAATTTGCTGAGGAGAACAACACGGTGTGCAATCAACTTATTTATGGGAATTTACTTACGAATCGGATAATTTTCATAATAGACAAATTTTTTTTTATTAAAAATAAACAACATAATGAAAAAAAATGGCTTCTGTCAACCATGTATGTTCGAACAAAGTCATGGTGCCTCGAATAGGTTAAATGAATCATTGATTGAGAAAACTTTGATTTCAATGATATCTTTGAAAACAGGTCAATTGTTTTAATCAGTTAACTGTGACACTCCATTTTGAAAGTGCACACTGCTGTGTGTCCTACAAATTAACTGATGACGAGTATAGTCGTCAAATGAATCATTGATTCAGAAAACATTGAGAAAAATTTGATTTCGATGATATCTTTGGAGACAGGTCAATTGTTTTAATCAGTTAACTATGGCACTCCGTTTTGAAAGTGCGCACCGCTGTACGTCCTACAAATTGACTGATGACGAATATAATTGTCAAACATA